ATTTCTCAGTCGGTAAAGTTTTAGGGCAAAAAGGGGCAGGGGTATTTCTGTCCTGAGCAAACTTTATCAACACCAATCATTATGCCATTTGTGAAATGTCGACTTCCCGGCCGACCTACAGGAAATCATATTGTTCGACAAACAATATCCGAGCCGAAACATTATCAATATCAAAATACATGAGCACAATCGTAAATAATCAAAGCAATAAAAATATACCAAATGAAACTCAGCGCATAGTGAGAAACGACTAAAACTAATAAAAATATTGGTGAATCATGCATAAAAAATTCAATGAGAACAAGGAAAGGTTAGCTTTAGTGATGGACGAATGAAATAGTTTATTACAATCGTATAAAGTGTGCATAAATAATGAATTTGAATGCATAAACTGGGTATAATTGCTACCGAAACTGCCTCATATAGCCACACCTGCGCGACCCGCTCTGACCCCCGCGTCTGCCGGGCAACGCGACCCTCCTCTCGCTCATAACCTTGGCCGCAAAACAATAACATTGAGTCAAAACGATACCCTTAATTGCACATCTTAGGGTAAACCGAGCACTTAAAAAACATAAATCTTCGGAAAGGAGCTGGGGAGAGGAGGAAGGAAGCATAAAGTGAAAGGTACGATCGAGTGATGTGGATGGATAAGAAAGAGAGAGTTGTTTGGAAGAAACGAAAAATGATGTTACGAACATGACGAATGTGCATGGGGTATTAGTGGGGGCAGAGATAGCAAGAAATAGAGACAGAGCAAGGGGAAAAGAAAGAGAGGGGGAGGAGGGAATGGCGGTTGAGAAAGTGAGAAGTATAGGATTACAAAAGATAACAACATAGGAGAAGATTATAGGAGTAAGAAATATGGAAATATTTGAAAATGTTACTGTACAATATGACGCCATATTAAAGGCGGGAGCTCGGGAGCTATAAGGAAAAATGGAAGCTTAAGAATAATGACAGGTTAGAAGATAAAGAGGAGGAAAATAAGAAGCAGGCTGAAAAGAACGAAGAGGTGAAAGAGGATGAGGAAGAGGAAGAGGATGTGGGTGAGGAGTATCGAGAGTATGGGGAGGAGGAGCGTATAGGAACGAAGGTGACGAGAAATGGCGCAGAATGCGACAATGACGAGGGGGCGAGAAGGGGTGACGAATAAGGAGTAGAGAAGGAGAAGGAGAGGGGAAAGGATGAGACTGAAGAAGATAGGGAGAATGAGAATGATGATGACGGTAATGACGGTAAGACTCAGAACGAAGGAAAAAGGGACGAAGAGAAGGGGAAAAGAAAGGTGGATAGAGGAGGAGGAGGAGGAGGAGGAGGAGGAAGAGAATAATAATATGGCCAGGGTGACGAAGGAAGGAGCGAAGGCAAATATGGACGGGAATTTGTAGCGAAGTTGAGTAGAGGAGGAAAATGAGTAGGAGGAGAAATAGGATATTTGGTGGATGAGCTGCTTGGAGGACTCTTTCTTGTAACCGAGCAGAGAGCGAATAGCGGTGCCGAGACGTCTAGCCCGTCGGGACTTGGCGGTACCGCTGTAAATCTCCCAACCTCTACGACACGCGATAGTCAATGAATTACTTAGCAGCTCTTCCCACAAACTTGGCATCCAAAAGATACTGTAAACACTTTTACGGGGTGGCGATCATGCATTTACACAAGCGTCTTCTTGTTTTGTTGTGTTCTCCTTGACTCCCCTCAAGTGCCATTCATCATAATTGAAAATCGATTTTGCACGTCACACACGCTCTTCGCAATCACGGTGCCTCAATCGCAAACACACGATTTCATTATTATTGATTTACGTGGTATAGAAATGAAATTGAGAAAAAAGTTTTTCAAAAAAGAAAATAAAAGATGGTTAAAAACAAAGCAAATAAAAACACCCCTCCCTATCGCATTTAAGTGACTCTCGAAGATGTTGAAATGGCGCCACCCGAACCTCGAGCCTTGAAGGGGTAGGCTCTGCTTTACAGAAATCAGCGGTTCGAGCTGTGAGAAATTTATGAGAACCAAACATTAACGCTTGCCCTCTTCCGAGCCTTAACCTGTTACATGAACACAGAAACTGCATAAAAATTAATAACTAAAAGACAATAGGGCAAAATGAAACCCTGATATGACAGAACATGATATTTTAACATCACTTTATTGTTCACTGATTAAACTTGCGCGAAAAGGGCAAAAGGTCTTTCTATACAAAAACCGAAGTTCTGAGAATTCGAGGTATCATCTTAATCATTTCTTATCATCTTGGGTAACGACAGACGCATTGCACCAGTGCTTCGTCACGTGACATGAATGACACTTTTGATGAATGTTGTGTGAATACGATATGTCACCGATACTGCGACTTTTCAAGATAGCGGCGTTTCAGAATTGTTGAAAGTGTGCCGCTCCTACACCAACCCAGTCGCATATACTAATGACGTGTTGACAGAAAGCAAGGTGTGAAATTTAGGAAAGGTGTCTTTATATGATATTCCCCGTTGGCCTGCAAACGTATAAAATTGATTTAAGTATAGTTTATTACAATGTTTATTCTACCATTCGTCATCTTCTTAGATGATCGTTATTTGTAATGGTCATTGAAATAGTTTATTAATATTTGTGAATATTTTGACCGTTCTAAAATCTTTAGATAATGATAGAAACCAGTGAAAAGGATGGTGCTAAGAAGAAACAAACAGATTTACTTTAACATTTAACAAATAAAGTGAGGTAATAATAACATGAAATCACGGTAAAACTTTGGGATACAACTTCAGTGGTTTATTGTACGTGGAGAAGGAAACGCTGGAACTTGTTGGAAAGAAAAAAACCATCGAAGCTAAATCGGAAATAGCAACAGCAACTCAGTGCAACAAAGCAATAATTATTGACCGACAGGAATGGAATGGGAAATGCTAAAGTAAAATAAGTAGAGTCTCACATAAGACATTAAATAGCCTACTCTATTGGGAGACGGAAGAAGAAAACATATCATTTGTGATTTTACTTCAGAATATCTTGCAGACATTATTTAAAAGATAATCTTGTCCCGCCCGGTTCACTAATTTAGCTCAATTATCGACCATTTATAAATAATTGCCGAGGTCTGGATTGTCGGTGTGTCTATTGTTGGCGCAAGTCTTGGAGTGGCCACCGGCATCGGCGAGGCATAGAAATAACGGAAGTCTTTATATTATAAGGACAATCCAGTTTAATAATTGGTGAATAAATTGTCATCATCTTCGAATTGGGAGCGTTCGCGTGCGCGTGCCTGAATTTATAAAGCACTTGTAAACAAATTTTGAAATAATCATTCAAAAGTGGTTATGGTTACGTTTTCACTTTATATAAAACAAATTCAGTCAAATGATTACCGAGACTTTCGGAATAATTTTGAAGTAAAGATCCTCGACTGGCCTTGTGATTATTGTTTATTTTACTGTGAATTTTCATCATGTGTCCACTGTCGATAGCTCAAATATAATAATACAAGAACGATTTTCACTATGATTTCGTATAAAATAAAACCTTCTCTTTACAAACATACTGAAGATGACATTAACAGCTGTCTCTAATTAGATTATGTGAGTAATGAGTTTGACCAAGTTGGTATCTGTCTAAATAGGTCCCGTAATTTCATCACATATAATTATATAGGGTTATTCATATAATCATGTGAGCATGATGGGGAAATGAAATAGAAAAGAGAAAAAGGGAGGGAGGGAGGAGGGAAGGAAGAAATATAGGAGGATGTGAGGTAGAAAGAGAGGGAGAAAGAGAGAGAGAGAGAGAGAGAGAGAGGGAGAGAGAGGGGAAAAGAGAGAAAAGACAATGAGTTATATAGGGAGAGATAAAAACGAACGAGAATGGGAGAGGGCAAATGAAAGATAATGAGAGATAACAGGGGAGAGGTAGAAAATAGAAAAGAGAAACATTGAAAGACAGAGAGAAGAGAGACAAGAAGAGAGATGAAAATGGGGGGGGGGGGTGAAAGAAAGGGGAGAGAAAGAGAATAGAGGAGACGAGACACGAAATATTTAGAGGACGTACAGGGAGAAAAAAAAAACCTGGAGAAAAATATAATGAAAGAAAAAAAAAAAAAATTCTAATGTGAGGGAGATTGCCTGATATAGCATTATTTTGTCCTTACATCATTCAAATGAACAGAAGATGGGAAGGGTGACGTCATCGCCGCTGTCCTGATCAGGGCAAACCCGAGCCCATCACGTCTGGGACGGACGGGGGTCGAGTCTAGGGCTTCTGGGACGCTTCATCAGATCAACACTGAGGAGTACCAGAGCATAGCCTTACAAACACTTATTCACCGGAAAGACACCAGGGGTGGCTTAAGATAATTATCTCTCGTAGCAGTGTCACATTGGACTACATTCGTGTGAGAGAGGGTCATTCATTTATTCATTGTGACGAAATTAAACAGAACACGCGTTCTCTTCTTTTTTATTTACTCCGACTCCCCCGCGAGGCATGGTGCCGATGTGTTTCTCTACCTTTTTGTAATTTGTGCAGCTCGCAGCAGGAAGAGAGAACTGTTCGTCTTCACGACGTTTGTGAACTTCTCACTTTCTTCAACGAATGCAGAGCTTTTCTCTATCTTTCACTGATCTTGAACCAAGGAGAAACTTGTTTCGGATGACGATGTGACACTGAATGAAACTGTCATTTGTCAAAGTTGGTTTTTTACTTCTATCATTTGAAATCCAAACAAAGTTAACGACTAGATTTGTTTTAAAAAGAGACAGGACGAGAATACGATGAGCATACACAGCGAGCATCCAGCTTTTCCGGTAGAGCTACATGCATGCAAAGATAATAGGGGGTATTATGGCAGCAGCTGCCGATGTGTTGTAAACTCTACCGTTATATCATCCGACCTACCTTTCGATTACTTATCGAATACAACAAGGTCAAGGGCGAATGACCAGGGGATCGACAAGAAATTCGAAAACGGGTCGTTTGTCGAACATTTCGGCGGTGTTTCTTTGACGTCGATGCCTCGCCATCAGCATCGTGGTGATCATCTTCATCATCGTCCTCCTTATCAGGAACAATCTGAGTGGAAGTTTGGAAACGAGTCGAGATCGACTGGGGGTAGACTAGAAAACCCGTTTGATGCGGCATCGTTCGAGTGCAGTGCGATGTTAGATAGCGCGCCGTCCAGTAGCCCGGCATCGTCAGTCAGCCCCGGATCACTCGCGCCACACGGCAATAGCCCGATCGGCACCCACACCATTCCCAATCTCGAAATCCTCGCCAGCCAACAACATCATCAGCAACAGCAACAACAGCAGCAACAACTCTGTGGTATGAATACCCAACAAGTCGTAAACCACCACCACCATAACGACAACCATCATCACCACCATCCCCATATCCAGCGCGGCCCGAAGCGCCGGGCCGTCGACAACAATCCCGTCGACGAAGCCGTCGTGGGGAACCGAAAGGAACGCCGTCGAACGCAAAGCATCAACACCGCCTTCGCCGATCTTCGGGAATGCATCCCAAACGTTCCCGCCGACACCAAACTTTCTAAAATCAAAACCCTTCGGTTAGCGACCAGCTACATCGCTTATTTAACAGATATGGTTTCCCGAGATGATAATATGAACGGTGATATGGAGATGACGATAAACGGCATGATGATGGAGGATATTAGAGACGGCGTCGGGACTACTATGCCGATGATTCGGCAGGACTTCTCTTTGACGTGCCGCTCAATCATTAAGGGTTCTATCAAACACGAGAGTGCCACAGTAAGTTAAATCCCATTTAAACTTGCTTTTGTAACTAATATTTCTTTCCACGATAATTATTGCGAGTATGAGTAGATTTCACATTACTGCCAAGTGTTATACCGTGTTTACACTTAAACGTTTTTCCTATATGTACTTATTACAAAGTATATATAACTATTCAAAACAATTATTTATACTATTCGGAATTGAAACAAAGTATATTGGGAAATAGAGGGCAGTGGAGGAATTGGCCAACGCCAATAAACAAACAAACGCCTTATACATTTCACTGGAGGATTGCATTAACCTTAACTTTATCGTAGTATAACTTTTCATGGACTATACACACATTCCCGAAATGGAATTAAACAATGAACTGACAAAGCCGTAAATAACATATTTTTAAACATTTTAAACCGTGTAATAATTATGTTCACGATCATTCTCTCTGACTTTCTAAGGGTGTTGAAATTTTAAGTTGATCAACGACATCATGGCTCTCACAAAGATTTCATCAAACTATCAAATCCAATTCTGTTTTTTTTTAGACCTGTTTCTTTCTCTTGTAGTGGGCCTACATGGAATCTACTCGCTTGTCCATCGTATTTATTCTTGTTGGGGATGACACTAAAGCACTTATAAAGTAGCTGAAAACAAATAAAACATAAAGATATTTACAAGGGCGAGAATGTCATCAAGAAGTGTCAATTATTCGAATGATCATAATATAAAGTGATAGCCTTAAAAGTTAAAAGGAACTAAGTTAGTATATTCGGAGAATATAATGAAATGAAGAGATTGTATTTATCACAGTCGTCAGAAGGAGATGCATGTTAAGAAGAGGAAAGGAAAAACAAATTACTGGAATAGATTTGCCGTGGGAAGCAACAACAACCAAAAAAAAAAACAAAAAAAAAAGTAAAACTTTATAAAAACATTCTTAATCTAATATGTTTTCTTCTTCCATGTAATTGCGATGCTACACTTATTTAGAAGATGAAATATGAATCACTACTTTTTCTGACTTTAGTCTACTTGAGAAGTAACATGTCATTTGTAGGCACTTTTAAGAAAGAATGGAAAATAGCTTTAAAATGTCCATAGCCCTTCTTTTGACCATCCATTTATAATAAGGTTTTACAAAATTTAATCGTTTCGTCACCCTTTAACAATCCTTGAAAACAGAAGTTTAATAACCTTAGATACACTTTGAAGCTAAACTACATTAACCGCTAAATGATTTATAATGGGTTTACACTTTTACAGCGAAGCGTTACAGAAGTATAGTTAATGTATGTGTCTGAATATTATATAATTTATTACAATCGCCAGCCGAAATTCGAAATGTTCTCGACCATTCGAAACAAAATAGTCGGCATTCGGACGACGTCGCGAGCAATGAGTACCATTTGCCGCTGTGTGGTCGCGCCGAAAGTGCTGCATGAAAAATGGGTCGAGGTTTGACTGGCTGGCTGGCTCGAGGACTAAGCAATAACTCACGGATCACGAGTTGGAAATAAAGGACAGTCGTCTTTTACAATGAATACAGAGAATTGGATATAAAAGATGAGGGAAAAGAATTCTAGTGACATAACAAGGTGGTCTGACTCGGACCATGTTTAGTATGATTGATTTAGATTTGGTTTGAATACTTTGAAACTATTCTGTTTTCTAGCTTCATTTATGCTTGGCTCGACCTGATCCTTTATATTATCTATGGAGTATGGTGGTCATAAATTTAGCGATTGATATTATCCAGTTTTATTTATTATTCATTTAATCATGGTATACAACAGAAAACATGATTATTACAATACCTAATTTGTTCACATTTTACAAGCAAATATTAAATATACATAAAATACAATGCAAACGGTAAAATTATACAAACACCAGTTCCCTTTCCTCATACTTTTATTGGAGACAGTGAATTTTATTTCCTTTCGACATATTTTTTCCAGGGCAATATGCCTATTACCTTACCAAAATATGCAAGTCGAAATCTTCTGTAGCACATTCATTTTGCGGCTATTCCTAAAAACGTACGTAAAAATGAATACTGTTCCAAGAATGAAAACGGATTAGAAAATAAATAACTTATATGATTTAGAATAAATCATTTCATAATGAAATTGCTTTTTATTTCCTTTTCTATGAATGATCATTTAATGTAATACTGTTCAATATCTCCAAAAAAGATTGAAATATATGTCTTGTCCATAAGCATTAATCCTCTTACCGGCACTTCCGAGTTTAAGAACAAACTAACAAACCATATAGAGGTTCAACAACTTTCCCGTTATGATAACAAATTTGTTGTATATTATGTTCTGCCAAAATTGTATACACTAAATGTGTAAACTTCTATTCTTTCGTAACATTTTAAAAATATCAATGTCTTCAATGATGCACATTACGAATAATCGAAATGGAATTGAATCTTTATAACACATTTTTAATCATACATAAACATTCTACTTGGAAAATTGTAAAGTCTTTTCTATTAAATGGAATATATTATAACTGTATTTCCTATTCGAGTGATGATGTTCAAACGTTGAAAAATATACAAATTAAAAATAAATTTAAAACAATTTTAAACTTTGACTTTTTTTTAAAGTTTCAAAAGTATGCCTCTGCTATAGTTGGAAGAAAAAAGGATGACAGCGCTAACGATCACGAAGATATGTCACCAAGTAATTATACATGACACTCAATGCTTTAGGCTACTTGAGAGAAATTGATATAAATAATGTAGTTAAGATGAATGATTGGCATCAATGAAACGAGATGAAATGACTAATGACCCGTCAATTTTGATATGAGTGAAACAACGCCCATGTGATTTTCAGACCCGATGTATGATATTTAGAAATGGATTTGAGAACGTTTGTTTAGTTTTGTTAGTTTCAGCGAACGTTTATTTGATCTTGTCTTCTACCGGTGTTTGAATAATTGATTAACATACGACTTCAAATTGCATAAACATTATTGTCTTATTTAGTTATTACTATTATTATTATTACGGTATGGTCTGATAGTATAGCAAAATATTGTATATCATTATCGCCACCCCCAAAACAAACAAACATGATTATCTTTATTAGCTATTGCTCATAACTTTGCAAAATAACATGCATATTCTTATATAAACTATGAATAAATAAAAACAAGAAAAATACGTAATACAGGAGAAAATAACGAAATGAAATCTGTTTCCCAGCAAAACAATTTATTTTCTTCTACTATCCATATGATAATTCCTAAAAAAAATCTATGGAAAAAATGAAAGCCGTTCATCATAAGATGCCGGAACATGATGATGAAAATGCTATATCTATCGGGACACATATCGCGAAGTCAACCAAATTGACACATGTGGGGTTTGTTCAAAAGCTAATTTGTATTTATGCCAATTTGCTAACATGAAAGAAAACCTAAGTAAAATACTTTCGGAAGAAGAAAAGTTGCAAAACCCTTAGTAGCATCGGGTATTCTTGAATACATCCTTCACCCTCCTATTACATTTTGAATACGCCATTGGTGAGAAAGGGCGGGGCAGTCAATGGAAAATAAAGGAAAAAAATAAAAATGAATTACTCGATTAACTGAGATAATTGGAATTGAGAGGGCAGGAAATTTAATACTCGAGATGTTATGTAATAATCCATATTCGTGCAGCGGAAGTTATAAATCTCGTAGCAAACGAGACACGCTAAAGGGTATAGACGGGACTCAATAGATCATTCAACTTTCAGCCTTGCGTATGTACACTGCAGAAGAAATGTTATGGAAACATTTTTAGAAAAGTAGATTGAAGCGTAATTACAAATTCGATAAGCCCAAAACGTTTTGTGGCCGATTCATTTAGTTGATGAAGAGTAAGCAATGTACATGTATACTCTAAGCAGCTAAATTGTTTTTGCTGGATATGTCATCTAAATGACCCTATGTTTCCGCTTGCATTGTATTAAAGCTCTGTCATAAGCAGACTTTAAGTAAAACTTTTATCTTTTAATTGAATGTATATATTGACATTGGAAATATTTACAGGATCTGTATTTTTTCGTCATAAACATTTTCTTTGAATATATGGCGATTTGATTTCGTGATTATAATACTAAGATGGTCTTTATTTAGAATAGGCTAAGGATTGGGAGATTTCGATCTAGTGTTGATTTCAATTCTGCCCCGCTATTCCATAAGTCTATATTTCTATGATGTTCTGATAGAAAAAGTGTGAATTATTCCATGAAGAAAACAAAAATCAGAATTCATTTTGTATCTGTTGGTTTCTGCTTGCCGTCCTTTACGAAAAATACAGGTTTGTCAGAATTTGGCTTATGAAAGAAAGTGTTTGACTATATCGCCTATATACACACTACGCGATGAAAGTCCTACATTTTTGATAGTACATCCGGAATTTTTAATGTAAAATGTTGCCTTCTATTGGTAAGTTTCTGTGAAGCACAGTATTTCTTCACTACAAAAATGGCAGTATGTTATTATTATAGTTGTTATAACCTATACTCCGTCTATAAATTCCCATATGATTGTGATAGCAGGGGCACGAAAAAGATTTTAGTCAATTTTTTACTTCTGTAACAAAGTTTCTTTGTGTTTTCGTGTGTGTTAATAATGAAACTGTAGAAGTGTTATCGTTATCAAGAGGATCGCCCCAGTCATCTTTAATAGGCTATTCTGAAGTTTTTGAAGGTTTTTAAAAAAAATCTGTCTTTCGTGGAATCTTGTCTATTTTAAGTAATCAGATTAGGGAAAATTTTGTATAAAAATTGACTTCAGTAACAATGTATCTGTCTGGGTCTCTACTCTCTTTACTATTATTATAAAATAATTGTGAATGGTTATTCTTATGCCATAAACAAGAAAGCACGTGCCTTGTATTCCCACCCCTTGTATTGTTATAGTTACGTTTCTCAATCTATGATGTTATTGTGTATCAAATGAGCAGGGGAACAATCTTGACACCAGTTTCAACCATAAACCACCACAAACTGTTTGGATTA